GTTCAAATTTAGATTTACAGAAATGCTAAAGAATTAAGTCTATCTGTACATTTGTGGTGAAGTGATGCCTATGGTTACTGCAAAATGAAACTAAACTAAGGATGAAAGTATGGAAGACACATTTCCGTTAAAGTTGATGAATGAAGGTGAAGTTGAAGGGAGGAGGAAGAATGATACAGAGGTTGCGGTCGAATAGTCCATTTAGCTTAGGAACCTTCCTAACGGAGTGAAATGACCCGGAAGTCCCTCAGTGGCAGCCATGATAAGTGCCGTTCGAATTCTCTAAATGAAAGGAAAGGAGGTTTCAAACTTCCTTTATAACCTCCTTTAGCTTAGGAACCACTGGACCTCCCTAACCTAAAGGAGAGGAGAAAATGCTGCCCCACAATGCCTTGCAGCCGCAGCATTTGCCGTCACACAACAGTCGGCCGTTCACGGAAACAACCGATTATGAACGAGAAATGATATCATGAAAGTTACGGTGCTTATTAAGCTTTTTAAAACGTATGTGGTAAGTTGCCAAAGTGCTTTGTTTTGAACGTTCATCAGTATTATAATCAAAAAGAGAAATATGAACGTTAGTTTTTACAGAAATTATCAAATAAAGTCAACATTTCACAGTCTTTACTGAGCTGTGTGGGGGTTGTTCAACTTTTAACCTGTTAAGCCCTAGAGCCCCCTGTACAGGGGGCAGTGGGGTGTTTTTTCACAAAACTGTGTCTCAGGGCTTCTTAATATTTAAAAACCTCTTAATGCGTGTTACGTGCCGCAGTTGTTGCTTGTGTGTGTGTGCTTTTGTGTGTGTCTCTCTCTCTCCCTGATTGTCTCCAGGTGCAGCCTCTCCCCCAGGTGCTCCCAATCCCCAATCAGGGCCTCCTTAAAGGACCTGAGGAAGGCTGCAGTGGCCTCTCTCCTTCTCCTCTGGCTGCATGGGTGCAGCACGGCGTCTTCGTCTCTGTGTTGGACCTGTGTTTTATCAATTACTAGGATATGTGTTCCAGCATATATTGGTACCATAGTTTACTTTGCAAGTTGGCTGGTGAGCCCGTTTTCTGTTTGTCTATCATTGGTTGATTAAACCTCATTTTGTGGCTTCAGAGATCAGTTTCCTCTCTCTTTTATCGTGCCTGGTCGTTTCTGTGTTTTGTTACTCCCCTTCGTACCCCTAGATTTGGAGGGAACGTAACAATGTGATACCCATTTAACGGGAAGAAACTCAGCTAACTGACAATATGAACCATTTTTACCGAAACAAAACACAAGTCTCACAAGAAGCGTCTAAATGAGCCCTGAGCGAAAAAATGCTAACACACTTACCACAGAACTCAAGGTAAAAATACCCTTATTACTTATCGTAACTCCAAAAACAAGATATCACATTAAAGCTGAGATTCCACAGATTCTATAAGTATCATCACTGAGCGATCAGAACTCGTGACAGGGGAAGCAAACACAGACGTCACAACACGTGAATTACGGAACATTCACGGGAAATCGTCTCAAATTAGCTGTTATTCTGATCAATAGTCGTGTTCAATGGCATTAAAATGATAAAAACGCCGCTGAAGGTTAATCCATAGGTTAATCCAATGTGTCTGTCACTTTGAAATGATTACTGATAATCCAACATTGTATTTTTATGTAAAAAAACTGAGATTTCATATTTTTATTTTTCTAAATCTCTCTAAAGAGGTCAAATGTCACTTTTGCATCAATCTTGATACAGGGTACTTATTATATGTTGTAGTTTGGATTCCTAAAGCTTTTAGTCTAACCCATCATCCAAGGGTGGTTTTCACTAAGTAATGGGTTTTTTGTAGGCGGAGGTACGAATTTACCTTTTTTACTATGTTCCATCTGAATTTACTCTGACACAGAAACATCTATATTGATTCTGACACTTCTACATCCAACTCACAGATGTAACCTTGCTTTGAGAAAAAAGATTATTAATTTAACCCTTTTAGAAGTGAAGTTAGTCATTTGTTCTGGGCATGTCATTTTCGAGCCTGAAACCTGAAAAACAGGCTCAGGGCTTAACTGGTTTGAATGGTGATATACATAGTGATAGATGTTAAGGACTAACGTTTATAATAAATACATTTGTATTGATTTTAAGATATTTTCATACAATCATACGTATTGGGATCATTTGTATTAATGTGGGGTGACGAGCATAAGTTTCACTTAACTTTTTTATTTCAATTCCAACTTTGGTCATGAAGAATATGTTTCTGTTGTCCCCGTTCATAAAGCATAAAACAACAGCATCAGAGCACGGTGCAGAGTCTCTAGATGAGTTTACAGTAGTCCCTCGTTCTTATTAAACATCCATGTTGTAGTCCGCTGTATAGAAAACTGTAGTTTCCATAGTTTCCCCACAGCAGCAGACGCACATTTATGATGTCCGCTGGCGCATCATAAACATGTCGGATAGTGAAAGTGCAGTCGGATTCTCTAAAGTACCGCAGTCTCTTCTCCTAAGTCCTTTTGAATTCTCCTATCCACTATCCCTTAACCACATGACGTTTCACTCAGAGGTCAAGGAATAGACTATAGGGTTAGAATTTAGGAGCTGATTTTTGGATTATTCGACCGCAACCCGAGAGACATTGTCAGTCCTGGAAATGATGATGGAAAAGATGATTGAATGATTATGATTAATTAATGACAATTCCCATGAGAATAATGAGAGCATAAGTCATTTACTCAGATGCTTAATAAGACTTGTGTTTTCCAGACCAAAAACAATCACTTTCTCACTATACCATCACAAAACTACTTTATTTGACTAAGTCAGAGTGAAAGGCATGCAGATCATATGATATCCAGGACATATACTTCCACCACTGGTTTCTTTTAACCATGAAGAATTATTTTCCTTTAACCTGAGCAGAGTTAGTTGCCTCATCTTGACCAAAACTTGAGACAACAAGAGTTCTGGAAGGCATTGATAATCAACTCAATAATAGTTGTAACACAAGAACAAAACAGAGCTTGTCCTCTGTGACCTCCACTCAGTTGAGCAATTGTTGAATGAGGCTGGCTTAAAGGTTATCAGTGGAGAGTTCGATAAAATTACAGAAATTGGCGGATGTCATGTAACAAAAGCTGTTCAACTATTAACTCTGTGTGAGAGCGAAAGAGAGGGACATTCATATTAACAGAGAAAAACGGAGAGTATCACTGAGGAAGATTAATGTGACAATGACAGAAACCTCCTGTCATTCATGTACAAAACATGATGAATGATATGATGGTTCTTTACTGAGCTCAAACCTTCTCATTGCTTAGGAGGCATAATCTGGACCGAAGACAGGTCATTAAGTGGATGATAAAATATCTGACTGATAGTCAGTGAAGTGATGCAGTAAAATCTCAGCTTTTCTGAATCGTCTCTTGGAAATTGCTGTGTCTAAGGCTCCGAGCCCACACACAATGAACCAATTACATAGAGATTTGGGTCAATTTATTTCATAACTGTCAATACCCCTTTTTACACACGATCAATACAGTCGAGAAGCCACAATGCCCATTAATGAATACATCCCTATTCTCGACAATACACCGAGCACAACGGACCGGCGTCTGAAAAAGCTCATTAGTGGGGGTATTTTGTCGATCTGCCTACAGGGATGTCACATTAAAAGCTGCTCCTATTTACAACATAATTCAAAGAGAACACTATTACAGTGGGGGGAAGGTTCATCGGATTTTATAGAGGTGCTACTTCAAGAGTGCAACGACTGAAACATTTCATTAAAACCTCCCAAGAGAAAACAGCTCATATGCATTCAGGGATGTAATGATGGGGAATAAGATGTATATCTATATCTGACACTTGTTGCAAGGTGAATTCCCACATTCCTTCACATCTGTTTTCTCAAGCAGACATTAAATCAGCAGCCCTTTGTATGCCTTCAATTCTGAAATCATCTCTTTACCCAAGACCCACTTTCTAGGATCTTTTGTGAAACGTGTCAAGTATAAAACTGGAGCCGAAGAAGTTGCATTCTCCTCCTGTGCAGCTTAACACATCCATGGAAAAACCACAGTCGTTCATATCATTCTCTCATGAGGGAAGATCAAATACGGGAATAGCTAAAATAAGAACAACACTTGTGGGACTTGCTGTCTCTTAAAACTTGACAGCTTTAAATCCCCAGAAGATATGAGCTTTCAACCAAGCCCCCGCAGTGGTCGGATCAGACCCAGAAAACGGTTTAATTCGCAAAATTCACAGAATAAACTGAATGAGCCACAGTACTTCTTTCCAAACTGGAGAAACAGGTCGTAGCACAGATCAGAAGTCTACTTTAACAAATAAAAAGTGAGAACTCTTAAATAATGAAGGCAGATGTTATGACTTGTATAGGAATGGGTTAGGGTTGGAAACAATTAGCCAATTAAATCATTTGATGAACGGTTTTGATCAAGTCATTTTTTAAGTTAAATTAACAAAGTGGCAGCTCCCCCAGTGTGAGGATTTGCTGCTTTTCTCTGATTTACATGGATGTAATAAAGTTAAAAGCTTTGGGTTTTTGGACTGATGGTCGGATTAAACAGGACACTTGAAGGCTCATCTACTTGGTAAATTGACATTTTATAGGTTGCATAATGAATTGATCAATCAGGGAAATAAATAGATTGAGCAATGATAATTCTTAATGGCAGCCTTTTGTTATCAGAGTTTAGATTATCTTTATGGAAAAAAAAATATTTCAGTTACAGTCATCTTTGTGAAAAGTAACACTTGTCATGATTGACCATTGTCCATTCTGCTAATAGGTTAGAAACTAAAACGTAGTTATTTTATATAACGGTCAACAGCCAAATGTCACAAACGTGCCAAATCCTACGACCCAACTCATTAGCCAGTGCGCTTTGAGTCAAGAAACGTCGGATCTCGTGCAAAAACAACCCATGTTTTTCGCTTTTCACAACATTGAGAACGCACTCAACAGTCCGCTGTCTCGCAGGCAGCGCGCGGAGCCCCTCACCTTCTCCACCTGTCCCACAGGAGCCGAGCAGCAGCCAGCCGAGCAGCGCAGTAATCCCAATGACTCTTTTGTACCCCAACATGTTGAAGCGACGGGATGCTGCAGATTATAATCCTATAAATCGGAGGTACAGTGTGTCCGTCCTCCTTCTTTACTCCTCCGTCTCTCCTGCTCACTTCTCTCCTCTCCTCCGGCTCCGCTGCGGTCGCCCTGCTGCCACAGTGGAGGGGCCGGCCGGGACCCAGTGGGGAGGAAGAGGAGGAAGAGGAGGATGATGCTCTCACACCGCCTGCCCTGCTACAAGTGATGGAGCGAAAGGAAGGAGTGAGGCAAAGAGGAGGGAGGGGAGAGTGTTGCAGGTCCCACGAATGGATCACTTTAGCGCAGGGAGTGCATGTGGCTGGTCGTGTTAACTCTTTATGCAGTATAAACTTTATGCTTTCAAATGCAATAAACAAATCAGTGTTTACGTTTATTTGCATAGGGCATGCAAAGTATGAGCCTCTTAGTTTGTGAGGAGTTTATGAGCTCTGCAATTAAAGCTAAATCAGGCTTAAATCAGAGGAAATTAGAAAAGATAAAAAGACAATACGTTTATTATTAGAATATTGTAGCAAATATACAGAGAATTGTTTCTAAAAGTAACACAAACACTGTTGCAAAAATGTATTAAGAATAAATAAAAGATGATATATGGGAGAAGTGCCAACAGCAGGTAAGCAGTGATGTGAGACGTGAGTTCAGATGGTGACCTGGTATTCAGACATGTTTTAAGACATCTGCCAAGAACAGTCTTTTATGATTTCTCTACATAAAAAAATACAGTTGATAACTTTGTAAAAATGTATGACTGTTACATATATTTATCTTAAAAGTGGATTCTCACTGTATTTTCACATCATTCACTGTCAATTATCAAGTTATTAAACTGAGATTACAAAAGGTGACAACAGAGAAACTTTTTCTCCTTCAACAGAGGATCGTATATACAGCCTTCTGGTGTCAGAACTCAGCAGTCAGCACATACATCATTCTGCACAGTGAAGGCCAAGTGAAGCAACATTAGGCGATACACACTTTTTAGAGAAGGCTAACTTCAAATATATCACTGCATCACAGCTTGAGGACACTAAAGTGATGCTGTTAAAAAGTTCACATTAGCATGATAATGTATTTCTGTTCCCTAATGTTATACGCATTACACAGTGTATAATGAGTTTTTTTGATATAACTTTGTTGGTCTGCATGCAAATACATAGATGTGTACATTTACTATATTCAATTTGAGAAAATGTAATACATTTTAAAGCCATTTCTAAACCCAACCCCCGTAATCTGAATTCAATACTTGAATAGGGAATAAATTGTCCTGATTGCTTGCACAAAAATGATTTGGAGAACATTTTGTGACATTAAAAACCTCTTTTCCCATCCATCTGGAGAGGTTAATGTAGGTCACTTGGTCTTTCGTATTCTGCAGCGAAGGAAGCCTCCAACCAAACAAAGAGTTTTAAGTTAGTGATGGTTTAAGTTAAATCCAGAGGTAAAGTGGTCTAGAGGTCTATTAAGACAACATTATGTAGTGAAAAATAGACTACACATTCATCCAAGAAGGATGCCAATGGTGCTAGTTCACTGTATTCCCTGTCTTGTAATGCTATATTCACACAAACTAAAATCTTAAGGGAATATTGTCCTCAACTGTTAGAGAACTACTCCTTTTTATACCTTTTTACACAATTAACAGAAAAAGTAATCTGAATGAAGGACACAGAGTCAAGATCTCACTGCTGCAATGCACCTCCAGTCAAATAAAGAGACTTTTTCATAATGAAAATGTGTCCTTGTAATGGTGTACTTATCACATATTTAGTGAGTGAGCATTTTTTAAATAAGATGCTCAATCCATCTCTATCAGTCGTCCACAAATACCTCCAGACTGACCTTCTTACCAGGAAGAGAGGGTCGTGGGGCTTCTGGGTTGCGGTCGAATAGTCCGTTTTGCTTAGGAACCTTCCTAACAGAGTGAAATGACCCGGAAGTACCTCAGTGGCAGCCATGATAAGAGCTGTTCGAATTCTCTAAATTATGGGAAAGGAGGTTTCAAACTTCCTTTATAACCTCCTTTAGCTTAGGAACCACTGGACCTCCCTTTACGAAAGGAGAGGAGAAAATGCTGCCCCACAATGCCTTGCGGCCGCAGCATTTGCCATCACACAACAGTCGGCCGTTCACGGAAATCAACCGATTATGACCGAGAAATTATATCATGAAAGTTACGGTGCTTATTAAGCATTTTAAAACGTATGTGGCAACTTGCCAAAGTGCTTTGTTTTGAACGTTCATCAGTATTATAATCAAAAAGAGAAATATGAACGTTAGTTTTTACTGAAATTATCAAATAAAGTCAACATTTCACAGTCTTTACTGAGCTGTGTGGGGTTTGTTAAACTAAAGATAAATTAAAGATGTTTGAATGGTGATATACACAGTGATAGATGTTAAGGACTAACATTTTTAATAAATACATTTGTATTTATGTTAAGATCTTTTCATACAATCATACGTATTGGGATCATTTGTATTAATGTAGACCGGAGGGAGAGGGTGACGAGCATAAGTTTCACTTTCCTTTTTTATTTCAATTCCAACTTTGGTCATGAAGAATATGTTTCTCTGTTGTCCACGTTCATAAAGCATAAAACAACAGCATCAGAGCACGGTGCAGAGTCTCTAGATGAGTTTACAGTAGTCCTTATTATACATCCATGTAGTCCGCTGTATAGAAAACTGTAGTTTCCCCACAGCAGCAGACGCACATTTATGACGTCCGCTGGCGCATCATGAATACGTCGGATAGTGAAAGTGCAGTCGGATTCTCAAAGCACCGCAGTCTCTTCTCCTAAATCCTTTTGAATTCTCCTATCCACTATCCCTTAACCCCGTGACGTTTCACACAGAGGTCAAGGAATAGACAATAGGGAAAGACGATAGGAGCTGATTTTTGGACTATTCGACCGCAAGTTCCGCAACCCTGGTGTTCCCTGTGAAGGTCAGCAGTGGGAGGGGCAGTAGCTTAGCCTTGCTGGTATACACCCACTCAACCTTTGATCGCTGCTCTCAACACCACGCCATTTCCTATCAAGGTCATGCATTGCTGACTGCCTGCACAGTCCCTTTTGATGAGGATCTTATTACAGGAGGGTACTATACAAAATAAATTGATTTTCCGCCTCAAGGACGAAATCTTCAGTCAGATATGGGGGGGAACAAAACAGGATCGAATGTGGATTGTGGATTTTCATTTTCACATAGGGGAATCCCTTTCCGTGATTACAAACTTGTTCCATCTTACATGACAAATCAAAAATGATGTTTTGTTTACACATGAAGCAATCAAAACATCACCAATGTGTGTGTTTCTTTCTTCATTTTATGAAAATAGCATCCTAATAACTGTAATTATTCCCTAGCTGAAGAGAAACGCTTGTTGCACAACTACACTCTAAGAAATTTAGGAGACAACCACACTCCTCCCAGGTAAATACCAAGTAGCGTAGGAAGAACACACAGAGGCAGAAAACATCTTCACCTTGAGAATGGTTACTGCACTTTGAAAAATGTATAGAACTGTACAGATCAGACTCGGTGCAGATGTGGCATGTAAAAAAATAAAGCCAAATAAAAGCTTTTTTGAAGAACATAAAGGAAAATCCAACCAGCCAAACAACTTCAAGCTAGGCCTCTATTGGCGCGTTTCCACTACACGGCCTCGCTCGGCCTCGCTTGGCCGCGCTTGGCCTCGTTAGGACCAGCTCACTTTATGGCGCGTTTCCATTACAGTTTAGGAACTGGGGTAGTATCTATAGTAACGCAATGTAGGCGGAGCGACGCTGCTTAAAACTGCCGTGACGTCATCTTCAATGCGACACAACACACAACAATGGAGGATGTGGAGATGTGGAAGCGATCGTTTGCTTGTTTCTTGCTGTGTGGTTTATTATCACAAGAAATAGGTAAGTGTTGTTTCGAAAGAGGCGACTTATAGCAAGACGAGGTATAGAAGAAGCTGACGCGAGAGTTCGGGCAGTCCTACGCCGCAGAGACTACAGGACGACTCGAATCACTACTACTAACTACAATGCTACTTGGTAAGCTAACGTTCGCTAACTAGCAATGTGTTTAGGCTCACGCTCCATATACGACCAAAGTATTTCCAGTATTTAATTAATTGTAGCTACCACTTTTACGTATTAAAATATGTATGCTTTTGTTTGTGTATTTCAGAAGTTGCGTGTATTTCAGAAGTTACGTCGCCGCCTTAGACCATGTGTTTGGATGCTCGACCGAGCTACCGAGTGGTGGAATGTGATTGTTCCATCTTTCACACACACACTCAGTGGGTGGAGAACTTCAGGATGTCTGAGGAAACCTACGTCTACCAGAGGTAGCAGTGGCACAAGGTGCAGAGGAGGGCAGGGACATACGAGAGGGTCTGATGCGCTACCTGAATACCTAGAATGTATAATGTAATACCTAAATATTCATTGTATTGTATTGAACATAAATAAATCTTTTTTTTTTCACATACATGTTTGTCAAATTATTTAAACCAAAAAAATGTTATCAGAATTTGACTTAGGACACTAAAGTGATGCTGTCAAAGAAGTACTTTATTTAACACAATTTGGGAAGTGTTTTCTTGCAGCAGCATAAAAAAGGCATGGCATTGCACCAGTTTGTGCTGTTGATGTGGAGGATGTCGATGCAGAGGACGTTGTTCGGAACTGTTCCTCCTCGCTAGTCCCAATGTAATCATCTAGAACAGAAACATGACTTGTAAATTCCACAAACTACTGCAGCACAATACTATAAATAGCAACAACAACTATAGAAAAGACAAACTGAACGTAAACAATTGAACGTAAACAATGGCATATATGGTGTTAGCAAACAACCCAGTCTCACGGCATTTCGTGTTATTAGTCACGAAATTAATTTAATCTATTGATTCGTGTTCACCAACACGATTTTCACATTTTTTTCGTGTCACACAGAACGATTTTAAAAGCAATGTATTTC